AGTTATTTTATATCTTAATCTAACATATTTGGATATAAAAAATAAAATATCTTGTAAAATATTTAGTATTCGATAATCTTACCGTAATACTTTTATGTACAGAATAATGACACAAATCAATTAGTGTAAAGAAAAAAACAAATAATTGTTTAAAAAAATACATTATAAATAATTACATACTTTTTCTTAAAAACAATTATTTTTTTTTTGCTAATTGATTTGTCTCATTATTCTGTACATAAAAGTATTACGTTAATATTATCGAAAACTAAATATTTAGCAAATAGACTTTCCTTCATTTAGAGCAGGAAATTGGTGGATATGGAATTTTAAAAAAGCACATCGCGTTGTATCACGTAAAATAACAAGTTTTAAAGCCCGATCTTCTTATGTAGCTGATGTAACAATACGTCAAAGTGCAGAGGAATTTGTGAGACAAGTTAAACCACATATTGATGTAATCGGTGCAGGATCAATTTATAATGCAGATAAAAGCGGCTTTAATTTAAAAACACATTCTGGAAGAACATTAACTAATGTGGGAGTAAAAAAAGTCGAATCTACTATTCAATCTGTATTTTCTATGACTCATAACTATCCATTATGCCCATTATGGAGGTTGCTTGGATGTGTTCGCAAGAAGGATGTCGATTGAGTGGTGTAGACGATTTTTCTAGTTGATAATAAATATATTCTGTTAAGTATACATTATGTACAATGGTTCTAATATTGTGTGGCCCTGAAAAGGGCCGATTGCTCCGCTACTTAGCGGCTCCTCTGAGAAGATGATTTTTCTCACCACGATATACTAGGAGTGGTGTTCGTCCACTGTAGCCGTCCTCGTCGGGGCGATGCCCGGGGTTTTGCCGGTGCGGAGGCTGCACGGCGAGAGTGAGCCGCTGCCTTTGGAGACGAAGGTCATTCCTCCGTTTGCGTGGAGGTGGTCCTTGTTGTTGCCTCCCAGTTGGAGTTGGACGATTGAGTTGCCTGCTTCTACATCTGCGGCACGTGGTGTTGGATGCCGCGATGCACTCGGCTAGTTCGCTTCGTCTGCGTAGATCGCGTGGGCCGCTCCTGGTGATTCCTCCGGGGGAATAGCGCTGGTGATGTTAGTAGCGTTGGCACCGCCTCTGGGAAGGATGGCGAGGTGATGCCTTATCCTTATGCCCCAGGTGGAGAGGAGGCACCGTGGAGGCCTCGTAAAGTTTGCTGGCGTCAACTCGAGAGGATGCAGCTTCCAGGGCAGTAAGGACCACTGCACTCGTCGAGTGTCTCGTTCGCTCCTTTTGTTCGCTTCTTCGCTATCCTTGTCCGCTCTCTGCCGCAGATCGGCCCATGGTGAACGGGGCGGCAGCGGTCGTGAAAGCTGATCTGTGGTCAAGCTGTTTGACAGCGTTTGGCCGCTCTAGACGGATATTAAAAAGAGTCGTGCTCGGTTCTTTCCAGCTTGCGCTCTCCAAACCGTGAGCAGACTGATTCGGCTTCTCGGCGCGCGGCCTTATATCTTGTAGTTGAACGGATTCTGAATGCGAAAAAGTAGCTCGCGAGAATCGCTGTCTCGCGGCCAGGCGTTGAACTACGTGGCTTGCCGGGCACGTGCTTAGCGCGTACTCTTAGGATTCATTCCCACTGAGCGCGTCACGCGTCGCGTCATGCGTCGCGTCATGCGTCGCGTTACGAGATAGCCAATCAGAACGTCTGTTTTATTGCATCATCTCCGACGCGATCTTCTTGCGCGACGCGTCGGTTTGGTTCGTCTGGTTGCTCGACATTCTCGCGTTTGCCATTGCTGGTCATGATCACCATGTCCACCGACACAGGACTGACATTTGTAAGTTTAAACTTGTTATTCAAATGTTAAAGAAGATTGTCTATTCTAAGATGCATTTTTAGTATTTTCGAAAAAACGCCGTCTCTTGAACTACCATCGCGTCGCGTCGTGACGCGACGCGTGACGCGCTCAGTGGGAACGAACCCTTACTCTTGCGCGCGGCACGTAATGAGCGCGTGAGCTTTGCCGTGCGCGCGGCACGTGATGAGTGCGCGAGCTTTCGTTCCCCGTGGGGACCGTTTTGCGCCGCGTGTTGCATCCTTGCATGCACTGCACGTATTTGTGGTGGTGGTGTATTTAACCGCCACACCTATTATATCTGCAAATGGACATCTTCTTTTACTTCTGTATATAATACTAAAAAAATCTAGTGGAAAATTTGGACCACGAGTAGAAGAAACTTTCTTTACACCTATTAATGTTTACATTGCAGCTTCAAAATTCGGAAAACACACAAGCCAACATTTCAAAAACTGATTTGAAGAAGTATATTTACGAAATACTGGAGAAAAGTCCGTTATTGCTTGATTCATGGACAGGTCATAATCCGGAACAATTAAAAAAATTTATACCAGCAGATAAACAAGTAAATATTCTAACAATACCAAAAAAACAACTGCTTTTGTACAACCTTTAGATGTTTTCGGTTTTAGAATTTGGAAAAATTTTGTTCGATGTTTTCCTGATATTATTTTAAATAATTATGACATACATTTTTCGAATATTATTATGCTTCTATATCTTGAATTGAAATTTAATTTGCAAAATATTTTAAAATTATAATTGTTTAAAATTATAATTTTTAATATTATTCAAATATTACAAGACTCATTCCGTTTTTTATATTATTATGATATAATGTATGTAGTATAAGAAGATTATTTACGCAACTGGTAAATATTATTACTAATATACAGCATCGTTATCATGTATTGCGAGGCCTTACGAAGAAAAGAAAAAAGAAATAAGTCGTCATAAAACAGTGAGCAAATAAAATTAGCATAGGTAGCGTGCGTCTTTATTTCTCAAGAATTAATTTCCGCAACATAACTTTATCATACATTGTTGAATTTGGCGCAACATAAGCTTTAATATAATTTGCAAACTTTTTCAAAATATTAAAAAAATAATGAGTGGTGGGGTTATTTTGAAAATTTTACCATTTTTGAAAAAACCAGATACGCCGTTTTAAAGTACATTTAAAACCATAAAACTTTTGTTTAAACAATTTTTTCATATTTCTTTTGGTTTCGATGATATTCGTTTCGGAATGTAAAAACCAATTTTTTAAGAGGCTGTTTTCACTCCTAAAATCGTTTTTTGGCACCAACAAAAAATTGTTTTGTTATTAGGACCTACTACTCTATAATTATGCAAAGTTTCAGATTTTTTTGAATTTTCGCGTTGCAGAATGTCCCTTGTGAGATATGTAACCGTTATAACATAATTATATAAGTGTGTTTGCTGGGTTATTAGCTTTGGAGGTGAAATGTTATTGTTTCTCAATTTAATATTTGTTCGGGCGTAGACCTCGACGAGATCGCCCGAAACTGAGAGACGTTCAGACTTGAACGAGAAACGAGTGTAGCGCGAATCCAAAGATCCACTGGAGGAACGGGTTGAAATGAGAAACTCACGTGATCGTTAATTTGATAAAAGCTTTTATTGTAATACACCGGGAGCGAGCGACGTAGCGTATTCCGCGACTACTTTCTGAAATCTTCAAGTATGTCCTTCTAATTACTGCCTATTCCGCGTTTCGGAAATCTTGAAGAACTTCTTGCTAGAAGCTCTCGCGAGGTAGGAAATCTTGAACGCGGACGCCGGAGATCTTTAGCGCGAGGCAGAGGACATTCGCGATACGGTTAACTATCGTCGACTCTCGAACTCTCCACTTTCACACGTTCACAATATCTTAACAATAAAAAAGTAAAGAATACTAGGTACACATTGGTACATGTACCAAACAATCGTCAAAAATCGCCTATAGTAGTATGTGTGTAGCGTGAGTAATCCGATACATACGGCGATATGATCTTACGCAGACAGATACTCGCAGTCGCGCGAGAAGTGCTGCACGTACGCGTACAAAAAAACAGCGCGAATAAAATCGATCGTTATAACGCGTTATAACGTGTCAGGTGCAACAGTGGAAATAAATATAGTGTACATATTTAGTGTACATTAGTATGTTATGTGTACATAATGGGATAAAAGCGGAATACAAGCCTTTTTTAGTGGTATATATACGTGATATATACGTATATAGTGGTATATACATATATGTATATACATATGTGTACGTATGTATATATGTATGTATATATACGTACGTGTACGTACGTGTAATACACACCCAGCAAACACAGAATATAACTGCTATATAACATGGGAATAACATGTAATATAACGGTTGTTATACCTAATTTATATTGGGATTATATAACTCTCTCTTATTTATGCAATATAACACCAGAATATGACTGCTATACAGAATATAACTGCTATATAACATGGGAATAACATGTAATGTAACGGTTGTTATACCTAATTTATATTGGGATTATATAACTGTCTTTTATTTATGCAATATAACATCAGAATATAACTGCTATGTAACATGGGAGTAATATGTAATGTAACTGCCCAAGTAACAGAGTAACGTCAAAAGACGACATAATGACGTCTATTTTTGGTCTATAATGTCGGCGACTAATAATTGACGTTTAAAAGACCTTATTTCTTAGATTAGCCAAAGACGTAATTTTGAAAACGTTCTATGACCGTCCAAATAAAGTCCTTTTGTAACTTATATTGATTATAGTTCATTTGCTTACCGCTATACGGCGCGCTATTCACTATCTATACCCGTCTTCAAATTCTTGTCATGAGCGTATATAAAGTCTGCAAAATGCGGCTAATAACATTGTAATTATTTTTATCAGTTCAATTTCTGATACGATTCCCGTACCAGGAAATTCAGATATTGAACTGATTTTTGGAAAATCGGACAGATAATATCCGATTTTAATTTATTCGGACAATTTCTATCCGAATAAGTAAAAATTGTTTGTTATTATCTGCTTAAAATATAAAACAGAAATTAACTTTCATATAAATAAAATCTTTAATTTTATAAATTAAAATATTTTTTACCTAAAATATATATCACATTAATATGTGTTATATTATTACTGTAATTGGTCTTAGTTTTGCCGTCAAACAAACGTCAGAAAATGACACCTCGTGGATGTGACATATCGATGAGACATTTTCGGGTCTCATGAAACCTAACTTAGGATGTCTAATTGGTCATTTTGTGACCAAAATTTACTGTCATTGTGACGTCAGTTTGCTACTTGGGTGGACTATTATATGACTGTAACAATCATATGACATTTTAGTAACATGTTATATTCATGTTATATAATTGCAATTTTGTATGAGTGGGAAATTACAACTACGTGAATATTACATGTAACAAATACGTTATATTACTTGTTACATTCCGTTTTATTATGGCAATGTTACAGTTATGTATCTGTGTTTGCTGGGATTAATTATACCGATATACTATTTCTAATATAAAACTAAAATTTGGTTTGGGTTAGGTTATATCTTCCGGAAGTGGGCCCCCCCCCCGTAGGGGGGCGGAACCTGCGTCCATGCATGTACTTTCCAAAACGAAACCAAATTCACTCTATATCTAACCTTAACTTTTCTAAAACGTACATGGTGTCGTAAAATTATGTTCTATTCATTAAAGTTTCTTCATTAATAACTTTTTAATAAACTACGAGCGACGGCTATGACCTTTTGAATGTTGTTCAGGGTCATGACCTTGACAACATATGTCAAGGTCAAGGTCATCGGGACTCCCTTGATCGGCATATTTACTCAAATAGATAATAGGCTGAGTTTATCTTCTGTTTATTTCATGTTGTTAAACCAAATCCTTCTGTACCTCTATTTGTAATGCTTAGAGACTCTACTTCTAATCTGGGATCTCAAAAATGAAAATTTGGTTATAAAAATAACAATACGGAAGAAAAGTTGATCGGCTTCTCATTCTCGTCCTAAAACAAACAAACAAAATATATTAATATTATAATTATAATATACAATATAATAAATGTAATAATTAATATCACTATATTATAATAATTAATATTAATAATAATAATTAGTATTTAGGATATTATTACCTTCTCTTTCTCTTCCTTTTCCCTTTTCTCTTCGTCTCGGCCCCCAATGATAATGGGGAGTCGACAATTTATACAAAAAGGCCATAAACTTTCTCTCCTGTTTTTTAACTTTTGCTCTTGTACCTCTCAGCTTCCGATCTGAAAACATCAAAGATTTTATTATTGGCCTTGAATTCTTTTCACCGTTAATACGAAAAAATAATAGCATGTATAAAATTAGAAAGCACAAAGGGTTATGATATACACTTCAACTGCACGAATATAAAGCAAATATTATAGTAAAGAATGATTTATGTAATCAAGCGACAGCAATATACAGTAGCGTTGTTACTTATTCTACTTCAACGTTGCGATGATAGGTACAATCAAGTGCAGCACATGAGAAAAATATTTATATCTCTTTGCTTTAGGCCGGATCGACAATAGGTGTAGTAAGCCTTTAGCCTTTTGCTCTAATTGTAAGCTTTAAGCTTGGTTAGAGCCGTAAGCTTTAATAAATGTTCTTACAACATAACGGTGTACAATGTGCCCGAGTCCTAAGACATAAATACCAATGAAATGATGGCAGATCTTTTATGCAGCGAAGACGGTAGCGATTTGTTGTTGGTTATGTAGATTATATAGTGTTGTAGGCAGTGATGCCAGAATTGAGACGCGAGCAACATGCAACCGAGGTGGAGGGGATAACACACACAAGTTAGGGTATGATGTATATATGTATATATCTACATTATGATAAAATCAAAAGAGATAATATGAGCAATATTATAGATTTGTATTCAAAATATGTACGCGACACAAACAGATATCTGTGTAAAGTCGTTGCTTCTACGAGACGAGAGAACAGAAATACAGTAGAAATCCAACATATTTTCTGTCTCTGCATATTTAACACAATACGAAAAGCTTGTATTTTATTGCTCTTTCCAAAGTATGCACATATCCTTGACAATTACTCTACATAATGATATCGGTAATGTAACTATAAAGCGTTGGTAATATACCGACACTTTTAGTTACACTTAGATGAGGGCGTTCACCTATCGGAGTTCGCCCGTCGCTCCGGCATCCTCTTAAGACTAGCAGGCTTATCATTACGGCGGTTATAACTAGCGGACTTATCTCTATCATGCGGCTAATATCTACAGCGCGGTATTTACATGCACCTACGAGCTAATGTCAGGTTAGGTGGCTGGGTATTGCGGGCAGGGCAGAGTGTCACGTCGGGGCCTGCCTTGGCAACGGAAACCGACGAAACCCGGTAGAGCTGAGCAAAATCTCAGCCCGGACAGGTGCTAGGAACCGGCGAAACCCGACAGAGCTAACCTTGCCGAAAATTGTCGATTAAAACGGATTAAAAAAAATGTAATCCGAATCGATCGGGATTTCTGCACCGAAAATGCGGTATTAAAACCGATTGAAAATAGTCAAATCGAATTTAGTACGCTTCAGGCGAGGTTAATGTTGGATGATATATCTCCACCTCAATGCGAAATTATACGATTTCATAAAATTATAATTAAACCTGTTTTGATGCAATTGAATTGGAATTTATCATAGTCAATCCATAGGTAAAAATAATCCCTTTTAATAGGGTCGCACTATTGTATTGCGGATTGTGCTTAATGTGACGACCTACGGCAGCCACAATATCCATTCGATTATTCGTGTTTATTTGGATTGACAACAATATGGATTAGAATGTAATGATTTTAGATTGGAAATAATCCGCGAAAGCGATGTTAAAACCGATTATAGTTTGTTCGGAATTAAAATTGATTACTTTTGAATCCGGGCGCGGATTGAACCGATTAAAACCGATTAAAACGGATTATGTTTTAATCGGTTTTAATCGACCATTTTCGGTAGGGAAGCGAAACCTTAGTCCGAGGAGTGGTGACAGGAGTCGGCGAAACCTGACAGGGCTGAGCGAAACCTCAGCCCGAAGGTAGAGAGAGCCGGCGGAACCCGGCGGTCCGGCGGTGGGGTCGGTTCCGCGTGGGGGGACCGCGAGAGAGATAGCGTTTATGGAGTGAGCGAGACGGCGCGTGCGGTGCACGAGCGAGTGAGATAGCGCGTGTGGTGTGCGTGCAAGCGGGATAGATAGAGCAGGATAAGAAGCAAGCCATGCGTATATATATATATGTATATATGTATATATGGCGTATGGCTACATATGACGTAGTAACGGCCCTGCCGTTACGCAATAAACAGAGCGCGGAACTATACATGCTAAAACCCCATATGATTTACAGATAATACCGTCCCTGAGTTCGAGTGTCTTACGTCTCCGCGAGCAGCCTAGATATTATTAAACAAAAGGAGTGAGGATGGCAGCAGCCAAGATCGGCCGAAAAGTACAAACCGGCCGCAGGCCTGACATAAATCATTCTTTATATAAGATTTTTTTCATGTTCGTGCAGTTAAATCATAACTTTGTGCTATTTATATACTTTAAGAGACTTACGTGGAAAGTCTTCGGCAGGAAGCTCATTATTATTACGGGCAGGCCCAAATTCATGATGGACAACGCCAGGCCAACGGGCAACGCCAGGTCCATGAGTAACAGCAGGCCCAAGTCCATGAGCATCTGTAGGGGCTTGCACGTCATTTCTTTGCACACCGCCGTCCGTTTCGCCGAGCAGGGCGCCACAAACATCTTGCTGAATATTTCCAAGATATTGATTACCTGCCAATTGGCGTATTGCCATTATATTAATAATTTTATCCTTTGACAAATGACAATCAATAAATTTTCTTATTATATTTATATGCTCCAGACAATGTATCAATTTTCTGAGCGTAGAAAAATGAAGTATACCTTGAAGTGAAACATTAGCATATAGCAACATATATTATTGACAATTGATAGTCCTCTTAAGCCCGTATCAGACTACGCATTGAAGATTGAGATTCAAGATTCAAGATTGAAATTTGACCAATCAGGACAAAGAAATTTTAGTCTCTTTTGTTCTGATTAGTCAAATTTTAATCTTTAATCTTCAATCTTCAATTTTCAATGCGTAGTCTGATACGGGCATTACATGCTATAAAGTATAATCATTAATCAAGCGAGGTGGTAGCGTCGCGCCGCCAAGTACATAAAAAAATACTTACTGGCTTGTCAACAGTTTTGCCTATGTAAAGGGGCCATGGTCAACAGTTTTGCCTGTTTAGAGGGGCCACAGCGCTACCAAGTAGCTTATTCGGAATTTTACGTCTAATAAACTTTCGATTAAAATATCCCAGGAACTGAAATAATCAAAAATCTAACGGCACTTTTCTGATACAATGTAAATGCAAGCTTTCGATTGCGACAAATTTGAATAAGATTGGTACAGTCAATTCTGAGGTATCATAATCGTATACCAGAATTGACATTTTTCATTCTTCATCATTGATTTCAGACGCTCACGTACGTATGCTCGCACGCACACACGCAAAGCGGTTTTGCGCCTCTAAGGGCATTCACACCGCTTATGTACGATTATTCCTTTGAATACACCCTTTAATAAATTTAAAATTTTTTAAATTTAATTTTTTAATACAATAAAAAAGAGAGAGGGAGGGAAGGAGAGAGGAGGGAGGGAGAAAGAAAGGGGGACAGAGAGAGAGAAAGAGGGGGAGTGAGAGGAGAAGAGGGAGAGAGGGAGAGAGAGAGAGGAAGAGAGAGAGTTGGAGGGTTGGAGAGGCAGAGGGAGGGAGGGAGAGAGAGAGAGAGAGAGCGAGATTGATTGATTGATTTTTCTCAATTATTTGTAATACATATCTAGTTTACAATAATTACAATATACTTTTTTAACAATTGCTTAAACAGCTCAATTTTCTTACATTGTTTTATCTCAGCTGGTAAGGCATTATACACTTTTACTTCTTCGTATGATCTTTACTAGCTTTCTCAGCTATTTGCAGTACAAATCTTCAACCCCAGCAGTCAATCCAGTCTCCGACAGTGCTATGCATGATTTATTATCTTCATAACTGATGCTGTATCCTCTTCCTTCTGTAGTTGTTACTTAATGTCCTCTCAATTGGCTCTCCTCTTTTCCTCCTGTATCGCCTTCTTAAATGTCGGACATTACGGATCAAGGGCGTCATGATCATCACTTATTTTCAAGTTGTATGTTTGAATTTTAAACATACAATTTACACATATTTTCTCTGTCGCCATGCATTCAATCGCTTTATGATTTCCTGCATATTTGTGGCATATTTCATTTCGTGTACAATTCTTTGCAATATGATAATAACCCCAGCATTTAAAACATCTTTTAATACTAATGTGATTAAATATCAGACACTTCCTCCATCCTACATTCAGTTCTCCTTTGCTCAACATTATTTCATGACTTTTGCATCTGCTTAAATTATTACAGGACCTTCTTCTTTACCTCTTTTTCCGGATTGACTTTTAATTATTTTCTTCACTATTCGCACATGAATTTCTTCATTCTTCGCGTCAATATTGTTCTGCTTTTTGATTGTAACTATTAAATCATCATCATTCAACTTCATTTCTTCTTTGCCAATATTGACAATTTTTATCTTAGGTTTCATCTGCGGTGACTCAGTAACTTTGAAATTCTCGTCCAGCTTGGCTTGTATTGTACCCTTTAATTTTTCCATTTCGGCTAAACTTCCGAAAATGACCCACGCTCGATTGCTATGAATTTTTGTAGAAACACTGTAAATGATGTCAAATGAATGTCCTTAAGTGGATTTTTACCGATACAAACATTTAATGCTAAAAATATTTAAATAAAGTTATATATAAATTATTGTCTATTACACTGTTTTACCAACTGAATCTATTTTTACTATATTAATGTTGGTGTTACTGTGTATTTATTATGTCACTGTTTTATCAGATGAGTCTGTATTTAATGTAAGAGAGCGGAAGAATCAGAAGTATACATAAATTATTAATACACAAATATTACAAAAAAATACTTTCCGCGCAAAGCGAAGTTTCACATGGGTTTACAACTTTCTACTCAAAGCGAGGTTGAACCCAAACCTATGTGTCTAGTTTTCCGATAGTGGAGCCCCTCCGCAGGGGGGACGGAACACACTGTTTCCACGCAAACACTTTTTAATTTAAAGCGAAGTTCCACATGGGTTTACAACTTTCCGCGCAAAGCAAGGTTCCACATTGGTTTTGCAACTTTCTGTCCAAAACGAGGTTTCACATAGGTTTGTAACTTTTTGCCCAAAGCGAGGTTTCACATGGGTTTACAACTGTCTATGCAAAGCGTTATTGGGACTGCTTTTAATTTTCTAAAGTTTTGATTTATTACAACTTTTAAAATAGGATATCTGGAAAATTATTGATTGTAAAACATATAAATTTAAACTTATTTAAATACACATTATGTATAATTATTTGAATAAATTATTGTAATTGTCCTAAACAGTTTAATGGACAATAATTTATATATATATATAACTCTAATTAAACATTTTTAGCATTAAATGTTTGTATCGGTAAAAATCCGCTTAAGGACATTCATTTGACATCATTTAGAGTGTTTCTACAAAAATTCATGGCAATCGAGCGTGGGTCATTTTCGGAAGTTTATCCTCCATTTCTTCTTCAGTCTCACAATCCAGAATCACTGTTCTCTTGCTTTCTTTTTTTAGCTTCGTTACCCCCATAGCCATATTCTTGACGTCTATTTTTTCTTTTATCAGTTTTTTAGTAGCTTCACTCTCCTGTTGCGTCTTAGGTTTGATAATTATATTTTCTTTTTTCTTCACTTTAACTGCGTCACCATAACTTCTTTGTGCTCCTTCTGACGGTCATGAAGCTCCTTCCTGTATCATTCTTCTCAATTCTCCCACTTCTTGTTTAATATTTTCCAATTCTTTTCGAACTAGTTTCTTAATCATCATCTTGACTTTCTTTTTACATGCTGTTTCATCTTTTATTTCCTTCACTATTTGTATAAGCCAATCTATTTTTATATCAATACCCACTGATCCACTCGCGCCTGCTACTCTGTTTCCACTACTTGATGCTATACTCCCCGTTGATCTTCCTGTCGATATCAATGCTTTACTCATAGCTGCTTCTTTATCGCTATCGATAATAAATTTCTCAAATAGGCCAAGACACGCCATCAATTTGTGGTTTCCATTATATATTTTATGCTTAATTGCACATCCTGGATGGTAAAAAAGTTTATCACAAGACTTGCATGTTACAACCTGGTTTTTTATTGCCTTCTTACTAGCCTTTCTCAAATTTCGAAAATACAATATTTTTGAGAAAAATATTTCAAATAAAAGTTGTAAAGTTTTAATTGGCGCATTAGGTAGCAATGTTAGTGTGACTTTAAATAGCATTGTTAAGGTCACGTAAAAATCACTTTTGGGTAATACTAATACTGGCGGTACTGTACCTTTCAAGCCTGATAATTCGGAAAATACTTAATGAAAAAGAATTTTGTTGTAGTGTTTTGTAAAGCTCTTAAGGTAAAGTACAAAAATATACAATCAAAAATGGAGCTTTCCATTTAAAAATTTCAAAGTGATTTTTACGTGACCTGAACAACGCTATCCAAGATTATAATAATATTGCTATGTAATGCGTCACATAAAACCCTACAACGTTTGTATGGAACATTTTTTTTCGAAAATGAGTATTTTTTGAAATATTAATAGGTGCCAACACTTATCGTACACCCATATAATTCAGAAACTGGCCATAGAAGTTTTCTGCAACTTGACACTTTAGATCAAAGATACAAGAACTACAACATATTACAAATTCAAGCAAATTGACCGAAAACGTTTTTCTTATAAGAATCGTGCGTGGTCCTTTTGGACTTAAAATTTTTTCAATGTTTGGATCCACGTACTTATGCAAATCCTCATTTTCAAAGATGAGGCATAGTAAAGTCGAATACACGATCTTCTTTAAGCGATACATCGTTATCCTCGCTGATGCGAGTAAGTTCATCAAAAATTGACTATTAACTTTATAAAATAATAATAATTATAATAATAATAAACAGTGAGTTGCGATGACAGGTACAATCAAGTGCAAGGCATGTGAGAAAAGTATTTATAGAATAAAGCAAAGAGATATAAATATTTTTCTCATATGCTGCACCTGATTGTACCTATCATCGCAATGTTGAAGTAGAATAAGTTACAACGCTACTTTATATTGCTGTCGCTTGATTACATAAATCAGGCCAGCGGCCGGTTTGTACTTTTCGGCCGATCTTGGTTGCTGCCATCCCCACTCCTTTTGTTTAATAGTATCTAGGCTGCTTGCGGAGACGTAAGACGCTCGAACTCAGGGATGGTATTAGCTGTAAATCATATGGGGTTTAGCATGTACAGTTCCGCGCACTGTTTACTGTTTACAGAGTTATTATATAAATTTTATATATATATATATGTCTTATTATGTAATAAACTTATATACAGACTCTGATATTATATATAAAACGTTTTT